CAAATTACCATAACCCTCTCCTAATGTGCTGGGAAGTCCAAGGGGTTACCTGGGAACCAAAACTATACCTCCTGGGAAACATGCTGGGAGAGGCCCCTGTATGATAGTGGGTGCTAGCAGGATTTAATGCCTTATTCAATTCCTCGCTATCACATTGACCATCTCTTTTTTATTAAATGCCTTTTGCTTTGAATTAATTTGTAGTCTGGCTTCTTGTTGTATTAAGAGATATATCAGTTGGGACTCAGAGCCTGAATTTGAATAGATAAGTATTCCAACAGTATTATGAACCTAGTAATAGCTGAGAGGGGCCCTGGGATATACTAATAAACTAGGAAGGTAGAAAAAGGACACTTCAAAGAAGTGTATTTTCTATATAGTCCCTCACCACTACTTCCAATTCCTCTCTCTCTCTCTTTCTTTAGTTTTTACAAAAAATATGAACATCTTAACTTTCTCACAATTGGAGTGGTCTTGAAGGGGCTGTCTTTGAAGGTGCTTAGCACAGTGCCTAGCACATAGCAGGCATTTAAGAAATGTTTATTGATTGACTGATTAATTGGTAGTGAGTTCCCCAACACTAGAGTACTTTAATAAGAGGTTGGTTGATAGCCTGTTTAGGATGATGGAGAAAGGGTTACCAAAACCACACTTAAAAAGAAAAGAGGAGCATAAAATGCCATCTCAGCAATCACACTCCCAGATTCTGGGATAAAATTCCAGTCAGATGGAAATGTTAATGTTAACAGGAGATTCAAATATGGGTTGGACTAGATCAGGGGTGGAAACCCGAGGGAGGCGCTGAGGCCACTTGTGGCCTTCTAGGTCCTCAAGTGCAGTCCTTTGACAGAATCCAAACTTCACATTCAGTCAAAGGGCCGCACTTGAGGACCTAGAGGGCCACATGTGGCCTTGAGGTCTCAGGTTCCCCATCCCTGGACTAGATGAACTCTGAGGTTCCTTCCAATGTAGAGATTCTATGACTGTTTGAACTGTTACACCATCATGGCCATCACACAAGAGTTAATATTTGCTAGACTGTTATCAATGCCCTCTAATTTATTCCGGCATGGGACTATATCCCAGTCAATGATTCATCACCAAGACACCACCACAGAATTTTGGAACTGATGAAAATAGAAATGCTCATCTCTTAAAGATGCATCTGTGGCGTTAAAGGAGTATTGGATTTTGAATCAGAAAACCTGGTTTCAGTCCTGGCTGTGAAACTTACCAAAGGTGCAACCTTGGGCAAGTCATTCACTCTCTGAGCCTCAGTTTCCTAATCTGTAAAAGGGTAGTAATAATACACAATCTTACCTCTCAGGGTTTTTGTGAGGATTAAATAAACTAATGTATGCAAAGTACCCTGTAAATGTTGTGTAAATGTAAACTTTTATTATGACAACATCCACTTTTCAAGAAGGAAGGGGAATTGGTCCATAAAAATACTTTCATTTCATTTTCGGATGTTTTGGGAAATCTTAACCCTAAATCTCTCTTCAGGAGTATCCGTAGCAATGAGGCTTTTCCCAAAAGAGGCCTAGGATTCCTATTATGTGAGCACTACTCAAAGAAGACACATGACCAATTTAATTTACCAAATGGATAAAGTAGGGTGGGGAGGAAAGTGCATCTGCATTACAAAAGGATTAGGGGGATTTGCCGAAGAGTTCCCCTTTAAGTGACCCAGGGACTCTGGCTCAAAGAAATGTATAGATCCAGTATAGAGGATCCCAGTAAGTAGTATGTAGGAATGATGGAGTGCTTGTGTTTGGGCCCCAGTTTAGACCACTGATGCCTTCAAGATACCTGGCCAGCCACTGACCACTTAGATCCTTCTCACTGTCCTTTCTGTATATAAGCATCAGCCTCATCCTCATTAGTTTGCAAGTTCCTTGTCCCTTCTATTGGCATTACAATAAACTTTGCCACTTGACTGGAAGAAAGTGAATAAACTGAGTCGGGAACACAGGATACTGTTAGATTTAGAGCTGAAAAAGACAGGGGTTCTTAACCTGGGGTCCCTCCAAGGGGTTCATGCAGAGATTTCAGGAGCTCCATGGACTTGGAGGAGGAAAACATTAGCACTTTCATTTCACTAATTTTTAACTGAAATAGAGCATTTCCTTCAATTATGAATGTAGGCAACAAACATTATTCTGAGGATTCCACAGGCTTCACCAGACTCTCAGAGGAGTCCCTGACACACTCATCTAGTCCAGCCATCTTATTTCACAGATGAAAAAACTGATGCCCAGAGAGATTAAATATCGTGCCCAACATCACACAAGATAGAGTCACACACAGACTCTGGATTTTAACCTAGATTGTCTAACCATAAATCTTCTTCTCATTATACTGCACCAGGCTGTGCTTCCTATGATCTTCCTTAAAGAACGTGAGGAGATGGGGAGTTAGGGGGAAGAAGAAGAAAGGAGTAGGAAGCTGAAGATGAGCTTTGAAACCAAGCCCTCTGACTCCAAATCCAAGGTTCTTTCTGTTATACAATCTTGCTTCCCTAGGCAGAGCTGTCAAACTCAGGCAGGCAGGACTGTGCTTAGGACAGGCTTAATAAAATAAATGACAATGCAATAAAATGCAGATAATGTTAATTTGTAGTTTTTGAAGTGAATACCACCCAAGAGATCCTTTTTATGGCTTTGTTGTTGTTCAGTGGATTCTGACTCTTTGTGACTGGGTGGACCATACTGTCTATGGTTTGGTTTTTTTTGGCAAAGATACTAGTTTGCATATTTAGTGGGGTGGGGTGGGAAGGGATGGCTAGGTTGGATAGAGTGCTGGGCCTGGAGTCAAGAAGACTCACCTTCATGAGCTCAAATCTAGCCTCACTTACTAGCTGTGTAACCCTGGGAAAGTCACTTAACCCTGTTTACTTCAGTTTTCTCATCTGTAAAATGAGCTGAAGAAGGAAATGGCAAACCACTTCAGTATCTTTGCCAAGAAAACCCCAAAAGGGGCCATGAAGAGTCAGATATGACTAAAAAAAAAAAAATGAATATCAAAAACAGTGGCTTAGTGGCCTTCATTTCTGTTTGAGTTTGATGCTGGCCTAGAGCATTAGAGCTAAAACGGGCCCTAGAACACAATGTCAGAGATGGACATGACCTTAGAATGCTAGAATATTAGAACATAGATTGTAAGAGATGGAGACAGTGGCAGATTGATGAGAAATGAAGATAGATTAACTCTGATATTGTGATGGGACAGACTGAACCTGGGATTTCATGGGTATAGGGAATTTTCATAGAGTGAACTCCCTCCACCAATGCAAACCAACATCTCCTCTACAATTTATAGTTTAGAAAGCTGCTTGGGGGCACTGAGAGGTTTAAGTGACTGGTCTAGGATCCCAAAACCAGTATTCATCAGAGATAGGACAAGAACGTAATTCTTTCTGACTGCAAGGTTGGCTCTCCATCCACTTACATCACACTGATACTTGAACGTAAATAAATAGGACAATGGGATTTGACTGACAGTTTTCTTTTTCCAGGAGCACATCTTTGTAAAGAAAAGGTACTATACATGTCCATTTGTCCTCCAACGTGGGTTCTATGAATCTGTGGTACCACAGCATGGCCGGAATCCATGGAATCCTTTCTCTGGGCTCAGGCCTACACCTTGTGTTATGTAAGAGAGATTTGACTATGGCAGCTGCTGTTACATGTCACCACTTGGGGTGGGCATGACTGTGCTAATGCTAACAAAGAAAACAACAACTATTTACACGAGTATAGTGATTTACAAATCAGTGTCATGCACATGACCCCATTTGATCTTTACAACAACCCTATGTGCAAAGAATGACAACTGTAATTATTCCCATTTTTCAGATTAGGAACCAAGGGGCTTAGAGAGGTGAACTGGCCAAGTTTACATAGCTATTTAGCGATGGAGTCAGGACTGAATACAGATCATGAGACTTCCAGTCCAGTGAACTTTTTTACTATGCTATGCTATCTCTCTATCATCATCATTTTCACCATCATCACCATCACCACCATCATCACCATCACCATCACCATCACCATCACCATCATCACCCCTAGCATTGGTATAGCATTTTAAGTTTTACAAAGCATTTAACACATATTATCTCATTGATCTGTACCACAACCCCGGCAGGCAGATGCTGTTATTAGAGGATAGAGTGTTGGCTTTGGAGTCAGAAGACCAGAGTTCAAATCCTACCCCAGATACATTCTAGCTGAGTGACCCTGGGCAAGTCACTTAAGTCTGTCTTCATCAGTTTCCTTATCTGTAAAATGGGGATGATAATAATAGCACCTATCTGTCAGGGTGGTTGTGAGGATTAAATGAGGTAACATATGTGGCATACTTTACAAACCTTAAAGTGGTATGTAAATGAGAACTCCTACTATTAGGGTGGAATACAAACTCCTGACATCTATGGCCTATCACAATTTGGCTCTCCCTTATCTTTCCACCTTATTTGCCCTTATTCTTCATTATTTACTTCAAATAACAGCCAAACAACTATCACACCTTTCCTATACCCAATCCCCCTTCTCCCCCATTATTCCCTCTTTGCCTCTATTAGCTGAAATCTCGCTCTTCTTTCAAAATTCAACTCAGGAGGCCCCTCAACCTCAAATAAAAGAGATTGTTCCCTCTTCATATTTTCCTAGAGCACTGGGTCTGGGTCTCTCCTTGGTTCTTATTACTGTCTGCCTTGTACTATACTTGTGTCTATTTCCTATTCTTGCTATCAAATTGTAAGGAAAAGTGTTTCGACTGGTTTATTTTTGGAGGCAACTGGGGTTAAGTGACTTGCCCAGGGTCACACAGCTAGTAAGTGTCTGAGGCTAGACTTGAACTCAGGTCCTTCTGAATCCAGGGCTGGTGCTCTAGCCACAACCTCATTGCTTTTTAACTTTGAATCCCCAGTATGTTGCATACATAAAACCCTGAATAAATGCATTCAGCTGCACTGAATCTGCCTGATGTAGACTTACCTCATTGATTATGATCCTGCTGGCCATCCGCAGCCTGGTCCTGGGTCCAAATTTATTAGTGATCATTATGCGTAATCCGGCCTCAGGGAAAGTGAACTGTGGGGGACTGGAGTTCATGATTTCATCCACCATCACCACTGGATTTTTGCCATATTGAGGCTTCTCCTTCACTATTGACCACAATGTGAACAGTTAGTCTTGGGATTTCCATGAGGGAACATTTATATGCTGGATGCTTCTCCCACTCCCAACCACTCCATGTCCATTGCTCCCTGAGGTCCCCTCATTAACTATGTGTGCGTCACCTACAGTGAGTGAGCGGTGTCCATGCTGTCCTACAGATCTCAACGTGAGGCCGGCTTCCTGCTCCTAGCTGATACTCCCCAAGGGCCTCACATCTGAATTTCATCAAAACATTTGAGATTTTTGCATGATGCTTTCACAAAAACTCCCCGGAGGATAATGTTTCTCCTAAAGTGACTAACAAGACTAGCACTGATGTTCCTTGTTTAAGAGTGCCAAAAGCCATATGTGCGGGGTGCGATGCAACGAGAAAAAGTTGTGAAGACTTGCCTGGTGTGCCCTGATAGCTTAGGCTCTTCTGGGAGGGTGCTTACCAGATGTTTCCATCCATATTCTGCACACCTTTCACCTTGTCAATCAATATCCGTCCACCCTTCTAACCCAGTGCAAACAGTGTCTAAATGAGCATGCAACTTGGTACCTAATTTAAGGGCCCCAAGGACAGCTGGCCACCATCACTAGAGTACATTGGCATGCTTAACTTTCTTCCTCTTTTGCCTTCCTATTGCCTATCATTATTATAGACCAGCATATGCTTTTCAAGACCTTCCCTCCGATCTTGCACCAGTTTGTATCAATGGATAGAGAGTCTCTATTCTTTACTTGCCTCTCCTTTTATAAGCAAAATTACACTCTACATTCCAAGTGTTCCTTGGAACAAAAATTTGAAGAAACAAGTTGGAGCATTCACCTAGCCATATGTTCTGGATGACCACTTTGGCCTTTTCTTTTAGATGGTAACTACAGGTCCTCAGGCAGAGGCATGGGCAAGCACATTTCATTAGGGTGTGCACCCAGGAAATTTCCTTTTCTTTTCTTTCTTAAAGGCAACTATTGACTGAATATTCAATCATAAAGGATGTCACCTTTGTTCATCAAACTAAAGAAAATAAATGTAACTGTTTTAAACAGTTAAATAACTTAAATATTAAATAACTATTTTAAATAAATGTAACTATTAAAAAAATAACAACTGAACTTTACTAAAGAAACATACACAAAAAATGAAGTGAAAAATTCTACATTCTTGGAGACATTAGGTTGTGCCTGGAATACCTGGACACCCAATCCATGGCCCTAGATAGGAGGGAACTTCTTCTTTTGGATCTCATAGGAAAGCAGCCACAGCTCAAAGAAGTCAGAGCTGGGAAGGTGCTGAAAGATTGTCCAGTCCAGTCTCCTCAGTTTTACAAATGAGCAAGCTAAAGTCCCCAAGAAGGGAAGTGATTAGCTCAAGGTCACACAGTGACTCACTGGCAGTGTCAACCTTCCCTTAACATTGGCACTCTATGGTAACTCCCAACCCTGAAGGCCTAATGGAATATATGGGCTCCTGAACATGATTAATAATGATATCTCATTATATTTCTCTATACTCATATTTTATCTCCCCGAAGATAATAAACTCTTGAGGGTAGGGACCAGGTCTTATTTATTGTTCTATCTCCCCAGAAGCTAGCATATTGTTCTATACTCAGTAGGTGCTTAAGAAGTGCTTGTGAATGAATGAACAGATGAACGAATGAATTGTACATGTGGAGAACTGTAAAATTTGGTCCCCAAAGCCCAGAATGGTTCTCAATGTCGACCAATCCCTCATGTACTAACTAGAGCACAAGCAGGCCAATTTCCCTGAAATAACACACATCAGTCCTTTGTTAGTTATTCGCTCCCAATGTTTTCCGCATGGAGAACAAATTCGCCCACTTAAACCACTCTAAACAGCAAATCCATGCAAGTGTGGCCACACACACTAAATACTACACACACAAGTGAGCACACAGCAAGGCTCAGCAGACAGGAGGCATGTGCTGTTAGAAAAAACAAAGCCAGAGATACCATGCATTGAATCGAGATGAAAACTGACCTCGAAGCAAGGGAAACATTCCGATGGGTTAGGGTTTATGTGTGTGTGTTTGTTTTACATGTTGTATTATTGCTTGGATGCGAGCAGATTACTTACAATTAAGAAGAGAAGGAGGAGAGTTTAGGAGACAAAAGCAAACAGTGACTGCCAGAAATGATTAGTGTACAGTGGGAGCCAAGGCCCTGGTCTGGAAAAAATAACATTCATTCCCCACGACCCATGACAGAAGGGGGCATTCTTGTCATCTGGCTCAAATGCAGCTGGGATGACTGAGGCATCTTTGCTTATTTGCCAAGGGATGCTGCATTAGGTATCTTAAAAGAAAACATTAGTGACTGGGGCCCTCTTGCAGAGGAGTCTGTTCCATGGAAGCTCCAGTCTATAGCTTTCTCCTTCATGCACATGCTTTGGCTGAATACTGATTTTCCCTATTACTGTTCAGCATTAGAGCCCCAACCATGCCCTCTTCACTTCTGGGCCCCTGAGCTGCAAGATCCTTCACATACTTTACACCAGGGCCTCCATTTCCTCTCAGGGGGAGGCAGAATTATTATAAGCAGCCTCTAGTATCTGAATAAATGAAGCTGTGGTCGGTTAGTTACATTCCTCTGGCCCCATGGAGAAACAACAGGTAGTCTTTGGGTTCCAATAAAGAGTGGTCTCTTTGACGAGCCGGTCAACCTTGGTTGGGTTGCCAGAAGCTTCAAACAGGATGGGTCATGGGAATGTCTGAAGAGATGATAAAGAAAATACCTCCCTTTCCACAGCAACTCCCCTTCCCACCCTCCAGGTTGTTTTTGATGGTGGGGATTCTAGATGGTATTGAATACTGAGCTGCATTAGAAAAGGAATATTAAATTACAGTCATCTTCCAAGTCAAGCCCAAGAGGAGGTACACTCAAAAGTCAAAGTCACATTTTGGTTCAGAAAGAAGAGGGGAGAGTATTGCTTAGGACTGCATTAAAAAGCATTATGATGAAGAGGGATGAGTGAAAGGATGACAGCTTTTTTGGGGGTGGAGGGAAAACAAATTATAAAACATTGGGTCAGGATGGCCTCGGTGCATATTTGTTTGAAAGACATCTGAGGGTCATAGCGGACTTAGTACAGTTAAATGTTGGCCCACAAAGTTGTGATGTTGCTTAAAAAAGCAAGCACGCTTCTGGGATCCATAAGTAAGCAGGAACAAGAATGAACCTTCAAGCTTCAGGACTGGGAGACTATTTGTGAGAGAATGAGCTCTGGTTTTGAGAGTTAATAGGGGCTTGAGACAAATCTCAGGATGCCCAGTTAGTCCTCAAAACCCCTATTACATAAGCGCCACAGTGGAAACTGATAGAGAAAAATCTGTAAAAGAAACAGCAGGGGACAACCTAAACTATCAAAGTTTTGGAAATTAGTCCCAGAGAGCAAAAGGGAAAGGAAATTAGTTTATTTGGCTTTGGCAAACAGAATCCTAATCAACTTCCTGCAACAATATTTAAATAAGTAGAGGGATCTTGCATCGATAGAGGAAAATGGTTTTCCTGTTCCTGTGGAAGACAGAGGCCTAAATTTTAAGAGAGGAATTTTGATTATCTACTCAGGACACCGCCTCGGTAGAACTGGAAGACATTGCTGTGTATTACCACTGGACACTGTGCAATCTCCTCTATACAGTTTTAAGAAAAGGAGAGATGAGTCCATCTAATGACAAGGAGCGTACTTCAGATGTCCCTGCCTATCTAAAGTCCTCATAGCAACAAAGGGCGTGGGGGTGGGGGGAAGAGTAGAGTGGCATTCCATTTCTTGCTCTATCTAAAATACTGAGACTAACAGGGACCTTTGAGATCACTCCTGTGCTGTAAGCTACTTAAAGATAGGGTTGATTTTATTTCTGTCTTTGTATTACCAGCACCTAATATGTTGCTGCTGTTCAGCTATTTCAGTTACATCTGATTCTTTGTGACCTCATCTGGGTTTTCTTGGCAAAGATACAGGAGTGGTTTGCCATTTCCTTCTCCAGCTCATTTTACAGATGAGGAAACTGAGGCAAACAGGGTTATGTGACTTGCCCAAGATCACACAGCTAGCAAGTAACTGAGGTCAGATCTGGAGTCTGGAAGAACTGAGGAGACATTTACACAAACCACTCACTAGAATGTACCTTTGCTTGCTCATCAGTAAGCTACTCCTGGGAATCTGGGAACATAGGACAACTCTTAACCAGGCTTCACCTTAAGAGGGAGTAATAAAATGTAGGTCTTTGGAGAGAGTCTGTGAGGGTCAATGCCATCTAAACAAGGGCACTAAAGCATTATACCTGACCTGATAGAATATTAAACAGCATTAGCCAGGGGACAAATCATTTTCCTTCCCTTATGAAGAAGTTGTCTTGGAAACAGAATTTCTCCCAGGATGGAAAGCTTTATATTTCATGAAAATCTAGTAATGGGAACTTTTACGGTTTGGCAGTGGGTACCCGTGAAAATGATAAACACATGCCCACGGCAAAGCTTCATTGCATGTGAGCTTCCTTTCCTCAGGACCTGGCCAACTGTTTTTTTTTTTTTCAGTTGTGTCCTCTGTAGAAGGTTTTGCTGTAACCTTGTCACATAGCTCCAGGTACCCTGGATGCAATTTTCCTATTTGAAGGAGTTCCTTTAATAAATGATAATAGTAGCAGATATTTGCTAAACGACTTCCCCAAGGTTAAATAACTAGTTAGTGGTGCAGCCTCAAACTGAGACAGCTCAGTGGTGCAGTGGATAGAGTACAGGGCCTGGAGTCAGGAAGACCTGAGTTCAAATCTGGCCTCAGACACTTACTAGCTGTGTGACCCTGGGCAACTCACTTAACCCTGTTTGCCTCAGTTTCCTCATCTGTAAAATGAGCTGGGAAAGGAAATGGCAAACTACTCCAGGATCTTTGCCAAGAAGACCTCAAGTAGGGTCATGAAGAGCTGGACATGACTGAACCACAAGTGGTACAGCTAAGACTCAAACTGAGGTCTTTTCAGTCCAAGTCCAGAACAGGAATAAAACTCAACTGCTTAACATAAAAGGCCAGGGTTGGGGTAGGAGAGGAATTCTCTACCCTATTTAATACTAACTCACATTTATATAGTACCTTAAGGTCTTCAAAGCCCTTTCCTCACAACCATTCCATAGGGTAGTTTGTACATTTACATAGTGCTTCAAGGTCTGCAAAGCTCATTTGATGTCCCCTGCCCCCAAACCCTGTGAGATAGGCACAACAGTTATTATTCCCGTTTTATAAATGAGAAAACTGAGGCTCACAGAAGTAAGGTACCTGATGGTAACACAGAGAGTGAATGTAGGATTCAAACCCAGATCTCTCCAAGCCTAGCGCTCCTCCTACTATACCAGGCTGCCCCACTCTAGCAGGAACAGAAGGGTCTAAGGATATAGCACCCCAGTGCTCAAAGTAGGTGCTTTATACATACTTATGGGCTTGAACTCAAAGGTGAATTCAAAACTTTTTTTTTTAATTCCATGTCAAATAATTCTTTCCTCTGGTGTCTCTTCATGGAGGTGGCCCTGGTTTCTCAAAGGCTATGCCAGGGAACTTGCTGTGGCATTTCCTGGCATGCTGAAAAGGCTTCAAGTCTGGGCCCATTAGTGACAGATGGTGTTGTCTGCGATTTGGGGACCAGCCTAGCCAAGTGTGGAGACAGGTTCAGGAGCGCAAGGCTGGTTGTCAAGGGATGAACTGCTTTTGGTCTCAAATGACCCATGAACTACCTTTATCTAAACAGGCAGAGGGGCTGTGATCTGTGTGAGCATAGTGACTTCTCACACTGATGAAAGATCAGCGCCTCATACACAGTAAGTGCTTGATAAACGATTGAACGAAAGCAGGGAATCCTTGAAGTGTTGAGACACGTGTTCACTAACCTTTGGTGAGCTTATCCTATAGCAGAAGCTGCTTGGCAAACTGCATGGATTGCTAGAAAGGATGCTGAAGTAGCTCTAAATGACACCCAATGATCCAGCAGCCTCTGGAGAGACGGACAGATGAGGGGCCCAAAAAGCAATGATTCCCCCTCACTCTCTAGACAAGAAGGCCAAGACTGAAGTATCCAAGGGCTCCAACTGAACAGCTCAGTGGCTGCCAAGGGGTGAAGGGGGCACTTTTCCTCAAAGACGTGAGGTTTAAACTCACAAAGCTTCCTTTCTCTGATCCCTAGCCTCCCCCTCACATTAAAGCCTATACCCATTCCCAGACCTAAAAGCCCATAGGGCAAACCTTTGCATATCATCCCCTACCTAACAATTCTACCTCAAATTCTAAATCATAATACCTTTTTAAGTTCCCTGCATCCATATGTCTCTTTACAGGACCACAGGATTTCGAATTTCAAGAGACCTTGGAGATAATTTAGCCCAACCATTCCTCTCATCTTAGATTGAGATCCACAGTGTGGGCCTGAAGTGACTCACCCAAGGTCACACAATGGCAGGGCTACGATTTAAACCTAGGTCCTCTAATTCCAAATACAATGTTCTTTGCGCTGTACTAAGCTGCTTTTTCTTTCAAAGGTTTCCAAATTTACTTTTTCATCACTGAACAAAATGTAGTAACAAAATATGTCAAATGCCAAGCAGGTGCTTAGATCTTTCTGGAGAAGCCTGGAAAGATTTTCCAAGACTTGACTGTAAGCCTTTTTTTCCAAACCCTGATCCCTAATTGCCTCTCTGCTCCCTCCCCATTAAAAAAAAAAAGCCCCAAAGCTCAGGTAACATTACAAACATCCTAGTCTTTCTCATTTATGTTGACTGTTAACAGGCTAAGGGTCATCCGGATACAATGACAATTTAGGGGGATTTGTGTGTGAGCTGGTGTATTTCAGTATTTCCTCCAACTCCTGTCTGCTCAGCCTTACCTTCCCACAGCAATGGCACGGAAGGATCATCATAGCTAATGTCATAGTAATCATTACCATCCTCCAGCTCACTGTTCACCGTGTTTCCGTTGGCAATGTTTTTTTGTTTGATTGTGAAAAAGGCTTGTATCTTCACATTGTACCTAAAAAAGGTCAAGAGAGGAGTAAGTACTCTATGATGGACAGCAAGAAATAACCTTCTACCCTCTAGCCTCCAGTTCCATACATTGGGCTGCGAATCACTCATGATGACCATGTGATGTGGAAAGATGTGCAGAATGTTTCTGTGGCAAGGACAAATTGAGGTTAGCAGGTTCAGTAAGGGTTTTTAAAACCACAGACTTATCCAATATTAGAGCCAGAAGGGCCCTTACATGATAATTGTTCCAAACCCCTCACTTTAGATGAGGGGACTTGATTTGCCTCAGGTCACACAGGTAATAAATGGTGAGATCTATGATTAGAACTCAGGGCCTCTGACTCCAAATTCAGTTCTCTTCTCCCCTATGCCATAAGAGCATTCCTAACACCTGCATCAGCCATGAGCTATCCTGTCTTTTCTTATTTGCAAGGTAAGCCCCTAAGACTGGCTTCCCGGTTTAAACGTCCTTTGTGGGGAGATCATTTGGGACTGTTTACTTCATAATGCCCACATTTATCTTTTACCTTTCTCATAAACTGGAGTGGGAGTGATTTATGCCCTCACAAAAACCATCAGAGAGGATTTTATTTCCAGGGGGAGCACAAGTGGGCAAGATAAAACAATAACATGGCTCTGCATCTCTGATGAGCTGGCATTCCAGGAGTTCTACTTGGGGATAGCGGGAAGGGAGGTCAGATCTGCTTTGGACAAAAAAGCCTATGGCTGGTTTGGGCCTTCTTTGCCCGTGAGAGATGTAAGGTCCTGAGCTGGGGCTGCCTTTGGAAGAATCTTTTTTTTCTTCCAGGGTCAGCTCATCTTGAGGAATATAGAAGAAAAAAGTAGAAGTCACTGGATTTGGGGAATAAAAACTTTTTGAATCAATTTATAATTTTGAGGCAAGAAAGAAGAGGGGAAGGAGTAGAGAATTATATTGGCTAATAATCCTCATTCAGTACCATTTCCCAACTTCCCAATGACCATGCATTGAGCAGTATTTGGAAATATTGTTCCCTTTGCCTCCCAACAACACTTCCCTCCCGCCCCATCAATTTCTCCACATTTTGCCTTTGGCCCCTCAAGTGACAAAAACGTCCGACAGGACTGATTCTGAGCCACCCAAAAGGCTACAAGACGAGATGAACTCACAAAACCGAATAGCACAGAACAGAGAAAAGATACAGAACTTACTTCATGGTAAGTATGTAAAATGCATAGATAATGATGAACACCAGACCTTCCCACCTCAAAGAAAGAAACAGGAAAGTAATTAGTCATGTTGCCCAGGGGTTCTTATATTGTAAAGTTAAAGCCATACATGGATAAATTTGACTGCTACAATTCATCAGCAAGCATTTATTAAGCACCTAAGCCAGACACTATGCTAATCACTGAGCATACAAAGACAAATGGGAAAAGGTCCCTGCCTTCCAGATAGACAACATGTGCACATATATGTATATGCCAATGACATACAAGGTATTTTTGGGGGTGAGGGGGCACTAGGAGGGTGGGAATCATGAAAGTCTTCATGTAGAAGGTAGGTGGCTATTATAATTCAATTAAACAAATTATTGTTGTTTAGTCGTGTCTGACTCTTTGTGACGCCAAGGACCTCTGTCCATGAGGTCTTCTTGGCAAAAAATGTTGGAGTGGCTTATCATTTCCTTCTTCAGAGATAAACAGAGATTACGTGACTTGCCCAAGATCACACAGCTAGGATGTTTCTGAAGTTGGATTTGAACTTGGGGCTTTCTGACTCCAAGCCTAGCACTCTAACCACTGCACCAGCCAATTACCACTATTCAATTAAATGATCACTATGTACAAGGCTAGAGGCAGCATGGTGTCATAGTGGATAGAGAGCTGGCCTCAGAGCCAGAAAGACCCAGGTTCAAGTCCCGCCTCAGACCCATACTAAACAATTCATTATATGCTGCGGTTAACTTGGTGACAAGCATCTCTGAACTCTGTGTTTCTGGTCCTCTGAAGACAGACACATAGGGTCATACTTGTATGACCTGGGCAAGTCATTCATCTCTCACTGCTCTATATACCACTCTAAGACCCTAAGTTTCAGGAAAGATGCAGACTTGTGTTGGCAGAACCTTCATCTGAAGATTCCTTGTACCAGTGAAATCACAGGCCCAGTCCCTGTCCTGACTATGTGTCAGACTGTGCCTGGCTCACATACCTCACCACGGTATGGAGGTGATCCTGTAGTCCTGAGGGCTATAACAGAGAGGTACAAATTTTGGTCGGTCCTAGCAAGCTAGAAATACTGTCAAGCATGGGCTTGGATAATGGGCTACATGTCTGCCCTCAAATGACCAGAAAGACAAAGATCAGAGATGCTTGTCACCAAGCTACCATAGCATATAATGAACTGTTTAGGCATGGTAATTCTCTAAGCCTATTTATGGTAGGGGTAGAGGAAGGCATGACCCTATGGACGAAATCAATCATGTATCCCTGAAGTGTTAACAATAGTATTTTAAATTTATAAAGTTTATAAGCTTTTTTTTTTTGGTGAGGCAACTGGGGTTAAATGACTTGCCCAGGGTTACACAGCTATTAAGTGTCAAGTCTCTGGTCTGAGACTGGATTTAAAACCAGGTCCCCTGACTCCAGGGCCATTGCTCTATCCAATACTCCACCTAGCTGCCCCCTACAAGCATTTTCTTCCTAATAACTGTGAGGTAAATAACATAGGGTATTATTATCTCCATTTTGGAGATGAGGAAACTGAGGCCAAGAAGAATGTTTTACCCACAAGTCAAGTTGCAGAACTAGGACTCAAGCTCATATATTCTGATTTTTTTAAGTCCTACACTTTTCCTATTATGCTACAGTGCTACTCAGTAAGGAACCGAGGTTAATTCGGGGTTGAGGATGGTAGTATTACTTCCTGGCATTTAGTCAATCAGCCAGTTGGCCTAATGTCTACTCTTCCTAAAATTTTATCATGTGGAATGTGCAGATTCTGAATTGCATTCTAAGAATATTTCTTAAGCACTTGAATAGTGCCCTGAATAATGCCAAGCCCCATTTAAAAAGGAGTCAGTATTAAAGAATGTGATTTCTGTTTGGGAAAAAAAAAAGAAGTCACGATTATTTAACATAGTATGGCTTTTATTTTCAGAAAGGACTTTACTAAGTTTATATTGTTTATCAAAGAGCAGAGATTTATTGAGCTAACAAGGGATCCCAGACCCTAGCAAAGGAGGAACACAGAAAAGAGCCATATACGACAGCTAGAAACAAACTGTAAAAACTTACCACACAATTTCCTCATCATAGATGAACTGGAAGGCAAAGAAACAGATGAAACAAATACACTCATTACTCACCATAAAATAAAAGATGATGTAGATTATACAGCATGTGGGGAATCATAGACTTGTAGAATGTTGGATTTGGAAAGGAGCCTAAGCTCCTTAGGGCACAGAATGTAAGAATAGAGGATGCTGGCACTGGAAGGGAACTAGGCGATAATTTGTTCCCATTTCTCATTTGAGAGCTCATGCTGACCTCGGAGATCATCTCATCCAATTCCTTCCATTTTCCAAATGGGGAAATGGAGGCTTAAGAAGGACCAGGTTCAAAGTCACACAGTAAGTGATGGAATACAGAATTTTAGAACTATAAGAGACCTTAGGGACCATATAGCCTTTCTCCCTCATTTGACAGATACTGTTCATGTTTGGCCATTGTGTGCATTTCCCAGATTGTCATGTGGCCATTCCCACTCAGCCCCTAGAATTCAAACCTTCATGCTCTCTATCAATGATTCTCAAACTTTTTGGGCTCAGGACACCTTCAAAACTTATTCATGGACATGACACTCTCCCTCCTTCCCTCCCCCCTCCTCTGCAAAGAGCCTTTGTTTTTGTTTATGTGGGTTATATTTATCGACAATTACCCTAACAGAAATTAAAACATCTTGGCATTATTCTGAAAATAGTGTTAACCTCACAGACCCCTTGAAAGGATCTCAGGGACACCCCAGGGTCCCTAGACTACACTTTGAGAACTCCTGCTCTCTCTAAATGTTAACTATTATTATTAGTTATTATCATTTCCCAACTCTGTAGCTATATTAAACGGCCCTCCAAGAAACTTGGGACAGCAATAAGATTTGCAAGATGCAGCCTAATTACATTATTTTACATGCAAAATAAATAATGAGGACATCATTGTACTTCACAAATCTGCTGTGGTTGGCAAGAAAGTTATTGTCCTTGTTTGAGCCTGAACAGAGATTAAAAAAAAAACCCATGAAGTTACTAAAAAAAGAAAATCGAAAATGATAGTCATTAAGTGCCTACTATGTGCAAGGCATTGGGGATACAAAGAAAAAATATTAAAAACCACAAAAAAGCAAACTTAGTTGAGTTCGTCTTAAAAGAATCATAGAATGTTAGCCCCAGAAGGGACCTTTGTGGTCATCTAATCCAACTCTCTCATTCTGCAGATGAGCAAACTGAGGTACCAAGAAATTTGAAGATTTGTGCAAAGAATCAGAGTCAGAACTAGAACCTTACTCTTCTGATCCCAAGTCCAAAGGTTCCTTCCACTACATTATGCTACCTATAAAAACAAAACAAAACAAACAACCCTTGGAAAATACCAAGAGAAAAATGTACCATCCATTCCCTCGAAGTTGGCTGGTGTATTTCAAACTGCTAGAAGACCTGAAGTACACACGTAGTCTTTCCTAGTAGGGACTCTCAGCAAATAGAGCCTCATCTCTCCTACTCCCATGCCATGAACACCTAGAAGCAATTTCCTTTTCTCTTTAGTAAAGACCTAATAACCTATGATTTTAGGGGCTTAACTGATGAGCTAATACGACCTGGAGATAGCACCTCCCTCTTGACGTGTCCAAGATGGCTACCTGGTTCCTGTAGTCTTTATAGCAATGGACTACTGGGATTAGGGTTTGTAATTTGGTTTACGGGGCTTTATTACAAAGGATCATTTGACTTAGTGCTAAAGGCACCTTAACTATCACCAGTCCTAATTAAACTTCTCCATTGGTTGTGGCTTCTCAAAGACTAAGTATGATGAATATAAGCTCTGACAGTTCTTACCAACTTGAAAAGATCCAGGGACAGAGTTCTTCATTTTACAGATTACATTATACAGGGAATAAACAGCAGAGCCAGGATTCAAACCCAGGACTGTTGACTCAGAGATGTGACTCCTTCCATTGCACCATACTGTCCTCAGCCTTTCTACAGCCTTTCTGTGTGCCCCTCTGCACACTATATGATCCAGCTATAATGGACTACATGCTATTCCTGGAATATAACTTTATCTCCCCACCTCTGTGTCTTTGCACTGTCTTTTTCCAATTTTTAGAATGCTCATCCTCATTATCCCCACTTTTTAATTTCTTTGGCTTCCTTCAAGAATCAGCTCAAATGCCATTTTCTCCAGGAGGCCTTTTCCAGTCACTTCAGTACTAGATCTCTTCTGAGATCACCTTGCATCTACTCTGTATATATATTCTACATCTCTCATTATTTACACGTTTTCTCCCCTGTTAGAATGTCAGCTCCTTAAGGGCAGGAAGTGTTTTTGCCTTTCTTTGTATCCTCAAAGCTTAGCAAATGCCTGGTACGCAGTAAACACCTATTAAATGCTTGTGAACTGACTTCCAGGACTAGTTTCTTACAGATAAGATTATTTTACTTTCTGTGTCTACCATTTTCTTTCAAAGATGCCAATATTGGGCATATAACTTTTAAACTTATGGGACTTTTGGTCATTTCATGATCTCAAAATCATGATGCTTCATTTATCTAGTATTTTTAGGAATGAGCTGTATAACAAAACTAACATTTTCAGATACTTGAAATTTATCCTTTCAATAGTCAAAATTTTATTTTAATCATTTGGGATGAAAATCTTTCTAAAATATATCCCATGCCAGCTGTAGTGGCATACTCCTATAATTCCTACTTCCAGGGAGGCTAAGGATGGTGGATCCTTTGGGCTGAGGAGTTCCATGCTGCAGTGGGCTAAATTTATCAGGTATCCACATTAAGTTCAGCATCAATAGGGTCAGCCCCTGGGAATGGGACACTGGGTTGTCTAAAGAGAGATGATATGGTCCAGGCTGGAAATGGGGCAGGTCAAAGCTCCCATACCATTAGTAGCGGGACAGAGCCTGTCGATGGCTCTTGAATTTCCAGCCTGGGTGAGACAGAGAGATCCAGTCTCAAAAACAAACAAACAAACAAACAATTAATTAAATACATTATATATTTCCTTTCCTGCTTAAACAGAAGATGATGAACATATTCAATCATTTTGATGATTACCACTAAGGATTACCATTATGACATCAATTGTATTATGCTGTAATCTTGGGCTATCTACTCTTCTAAAAGGTGGTTTCAAGCTTCTGTACTTTTGGAATTATGTCTGCTTTTTATAATTTTTCAACCTCCTCTATTACTTCTTCCTGCATCTTAAAGTCCCTCTAGTTTTTCTCACCTGCTTGTGGAAATGGAATAACATTTTGATAGAATTATATGTAAAGACAGAGTCAATAAGCTCTGGGTGAGGGGTACTCTATGAGAAAAGTATAAGAACTCTGGGGCATGAACTTTCTGACATCTCTTTTGGTTGCTTGGAAGATGACTGTTTTTCATTGTTTGCTTCCTTCTAGGTTTTCCATTGTGAACTGGACGTCTGATGTATCTGCACAATGACCCCTGAATATGGGAAATGTTATTTCTCCTAATAGAGAAGGCTGTCAATGGTCACTGATGAACATAAAATGTAAATGTGATTGGTGGAATGCCCAATTTTTCTTTCTTAATTTATATTTCCTAGGTTCTGCTGAAGTCCTTCTGCAATGTCTCTTCATGATAGAGAGGTGATCTTGGGTTCTTGAAGGCTGTGCCAAAGGCACACAACCTCTGGAAGGTCTCACAATCATCTGAGAAGTATCCTTGGTAAATTTGTAGAGTATAGAAATAGGATAACAGAGTTTTGGATAATGGCCAATCTCAAAAACCATCTACTAAGCTAGAAGAAAAACTGTTGTCCTCATCAGTGAAGGGAGAACTCACAACAATGAAACCACACACCAATCAAATATTAAAGTAAATAAATCCTGGTCAAAAATCTAAGCCTGTAAACTCAGGCCATTGGTGAAAGTGAAGCTTAGAATAGGTGGAGAAACTCACCACAATGAGTACGACGACAGACAGAGTGTAGAATACAGAATCTCTGAACACTGCCCACCAGGTCAGGTGGACCACCTGGAAAACAAGGAGGTGTTAGCTATCCCACAGTCCCTTATTTAGCAGGAGAGAGGGAGAAGATGCACTAAGAGGTTCCTATTTGCATAATTAGAACCGGTCCAGCGTTCGGGGGGGGAAAACACATGTCTCACAGATACCATTTTAATCCTGCCTCTCACAAGAGCAAAATGAGCTTAGCCACTAGTCTTCAAAGCACGCCTTTTCTCTTTATTTTATTTGGGGAATGAGGTGAAACTGAGTAATATTCCTAAGTGGTTTTCACGAAAGCCATCTATTTCTTTGAAGTAGTCAAATCTCAAGCTCTGGAAAGTAAGCAGATTGCTCCAGGGGTAGGCGTGTTCCCAGCCCCGAGTGTTCGCCATCTCAACAATCTGTCATGAGTAGCACCTGTGCCTTACTCTGCTCTCTCCCCCTCTCATAGATTCATTGAACAGATTGTCCCAGAATAACAATAATGATAGCTTACATTTCTATATTGTTTTGCAGTTACAAATCACTTCATATACCTCATTTCATTGCCCAGCAACTCTATGAGGTTAGTAGTATAAATGCCATTATCTTCCTTTTAGGATGGAGGGCACTCGGGACTGACGGAGGGTAAATGACTTGTCCAAGGGTTACATAGTTACTAAGTGGTACAGAAAGGACATGTCTCCAGCTCATTTCAATCCCTTTAAATTCAGAGTAGAAAGGACCCCATTTTATTGGCATAGGACCTTAATCACAGTAAGCATCTAGCAAACGCTTGTTGCATTTTACTGAATTTCGATAGGATAACAGACACTCAAATGTCTATTGAATGAATGAATGAGGACAACTCTACTTTGTAAGTCTATTTTTCTGCATCCTTCTCAATGACTTTGATGCGCTACAAAGAATGGAGTAACTAGGGGTGAGCGCAAACTGGGATCCCATCGGGCAGGGAGGAATTGAGGGAAATATGTCCCAAAGCATTTCAAAATAGGCTATTCATCCCTGCATTGTTATAAACAGTAGTTATCACTTACATAGGTACTACTTAGGAGGACGAGGATGGGATGACATAATACAATATAGTTTCTCTGTTAGAGGAGGCTAACATAATGGGATTTAATATGGTTTATATGTAAAGTTCTATACTTGGGTTCAAAAAAATCAACTGTACAAGTACTGAGTGTGGGAGTCATGGCTAGAAAGGAGCTCAGGTGAAAAAGACCTGTTCTAGTAAACTGTTAACTCATGATGAATCAGCAGGCAAAAGAGTAAATGTGATATGAAGCTGTGTTAACAGAACTATAGCAACCAGGGTGAAAGTTCCACTGTGACCTCTCTTGGCTTGGCTGGATCACAAATGGATTTCTTTGTTTATTTTGAGAGGTCATATTTTAGGAAGGGCATTGACAAATGGAGTATATTCAGATGTTGGTCACGAGAAAAGTTGAACTGTGATATATGAGGGCTCTCTGGAGAAGAGTAAACTTTGCCCAGTCCCCTCCAGCCCAGTATGGATCCCAGTAACATCCTCCCCGTATATCCAGGAGATTTCAGTACTCATGGGAGCCCAAGTACTGAAGTAGTTGCTTGAATTACAGATGAATTTTTTTTTGGCCACAGAAATTCATGAAGTTGTCATTAAGATATAGTGATGTTTGGGATATGCATTAGTGGAAAGAATGCCCACACCAGGGAAATCATAGAATTTTAAAAATTGACTTTAAAAAACCGATAAGGATTTCAACAAAGAGAGAAGTCTCTCTTTTAGGAAGATCTGAAGTGAGAACAAAGAACTCTAGAATATTAATGCTGGAAAGGACTTTAAAGGTCATCCAATCTAGGTGCCCCCCCTTCTACTTTTTATGGATTAAGGAAGCTAAAGTCTAGAGAGATGAAAAAATTACACAAGGATTTACACAGTTTGTAGAAAACCCAGAGACTAGAAGTCAAGTCTGTATTGTTGTTCAGCTGTTTTATACTTATACTCTCTTTGTGACCCCACTTGGGGATTTCTTGGCAAAGACATCGGCGTGGTTTGCCATTTCCTTCTCCAGCTCATTTTACAGATGAGGAAACTGAGGCAAACAGGGTTAAGTGACTTGCCCAGGGTCATACAACTGGTAAGTGTCTGAGGCCAGATTTGAATGCAGGGAAATGAATAATCCTGACTCCAGGCCCAGCACTCTACCCATCGTTCCACCTAGCTGCCCCAAGTCTCTGTATTCTTAATAAATTGTCTTTCCTACACAGCACCCTTAGCTCAAAGGCTAAAGGCCCCACAAAATAATCCTAATGAAATGTAGACTGTGAACAAGATGTGTGGACAACCACTGACCTGTCCTGCAAATAATCCACAGACTCCAATTATACATAAAATGTTGAAAACAGCAGAGCCAACGATAGTGCCAACCCCTACATCTCCATGTGTGATGAATACACCTGAAAAAAGAGAAAGAGAGAGATGAGACACCTGCACCTCCTCCTATCTGTCAGGGGTCATGGAAACAAATGTGTTTTCCATCACCCTTGTAACTAGGCTGTGCATCGTCAATTCCATCCAGCAGTGGCATGGACTGGGAGTCTCCTATGTCCAATGGATGAACAATGTTTATTCAAAACAGTGAAGAAGGGCCAGTGATGACAGACATCCGGAATTATAGAGCACTACAGCAGAAAGGGATTTTCAAACGAAGAATGTCAGAGCTCAAAAGGACCTTAGAGATTATCACACTGAGCTCCTTCATTTCAGAAAGAAAGAATCTGAGCGTCAGAGAGAAAAGGATTTGTTCAGTGTCACAAGCTAGGAAGTGATGGAGTCAGTACTTGAACCCTGGTTATTTGATTCCAAGGCAGACACTCTTTTTGCTATCTTCATTCATTCTGAATTTGTTTTGATTTGTGTCTGGCTGCTTTGTGTTTTACCAAACTCAGAATTATTTATTGCATGTTTCTGAAACACAGCAAACAAGGCAGAAGGATAGGGAACATGTAGAGGGAGGTACATTTTTTTTCCTCTTTTTTGGAGGGCAATTGGGGTTAAGCGACTTGCCCAGAGTCACACAGCTAGTAAGTGTTTGAGGCTGGAGCTCAGGTCTTCCTGACTCCAGAGCTCTATCCACTGTGTCATCCAGCAGCTCTGGGAGGTCCAATTTCTTATGAAAAGAGTGTTCAATAGACATTTTAGAGATCTATTTTGTAACTCAAAAGTATATCTCTAGTACTTAGAAATCTGGTGACTTTATAGGATGAATTATAAGAAAAATTCTAGAATAGATTACCATTCAGAAAATTACTTCTTAAGGGCTTAGACATCTGGTAAATTATTTAAAGGCCTAGAACAAATTCATTAGTCGTCTCAAAGCATCCAATGAGAATGGGATCTGGCCCACCAATTATGATGGCAACACCCATTGAATTGTAAGCTTCTTAAAGGTTGGTACCTTTGTCTCATTCACTTTTAATTTTCTTCTGACATTTTGCAGAATGTTCTTTCATCCATTCAATAAATATTTACTAAACAGCTAATTATAGTAGAGTATGTGCCAGGTATTGGGGGGAAAGATAATATTAAGGAAAGATGCAGTTCCTTCCCTCATGGAACTTCACAGTTAGTAGGAAGAAGAGATACCAACATGAGTCAGACCAGTGGCAGCTGTAGTATATACTATTACAAGTTAAGTGTGTTATTAAGTTATAAAACTAAGTGCTAAATTAGATTGGGGTGAGGAGGAAGATAATTTTCAAGAGTAAGGATTAAGGAAGGCTTCATGAAAGAAGAGGCACTTGATCTGGGTTACAAAGAATGGAAGGAAATTCAACAGGAAAAGAGGGGGAGGGAGGACATTCCATGTGTGGAAAACAGTGTGAGCAAAGACACGGAATCTGGAGATGTGGGGGCCATATTTGAGGGAGCAGATAATCATTCAGTTGGGATACAGCATATGACATGTGGATGGTAACCCCCTGCACACAGATTAGGCTATGCCCAAGGCCAGAATCAAGCATACTGACAAATATACATAAAGTTCTTTTGTTTTATATTCTGCAAAAATTGAGATAATAATAGCACCCCCCTTGTAGAGCTGTGAGAATTAAATGATATAATAATTGTAGAGCACTTAGCACAGTACCTGGCACATAGAAAGTGCTATATAAATATTAGCTATTCTTTTGTTGTTTGTGTTGAGTCATTTTCAGTTGTGTCTGATTCTTCCTGACTGCAAATGGGGTCTTCTTGGCAAAAACACAGGAGCAGTCTGCCATTTGCTTCTCCAGTTCATTTTACAGACAAGGAAACTGAGGCAAACAGCGTTAAGTGACTTGCCCAGGGTCACACAGCTGGTAAGTGTCTGATACCATATTTGAACTCAGGAAGATGAGTCTTCCTGACTCTAGGCCTGGTACCCTATCCACTGTGTCACCCAATTGCCCCTAGCTATTATTATTGTTGTTGTTGTTATTGTTGTTAATAGTAAGTCCATGTGATGGTAAGTTTCCATGATATAGGAAACCTGTGGCATTGGTTTTTGATAGCCTTATGATGGGAATTTCCTTTACCCCGTCTGAATACTCTAAAGGTTCTACAATCTAATCAAAGTAAGGATTCCCTCTAATAATGCGATCCACCAACCATCTATGCCTGCCCATCTTGTTCAGTTCTCATCTACATCCTTAAGTATGTCACAAGTTTGTCACAGTCCAATGCATTGTGGAGGGGGGGGTCTCCCTCCAGTTTTTTCGACATTGTGTGGATGCCAAGAAAGAATGTGGGCTGTCCATCTGTTATCCCACTGAACCATCTACCATGCCACTATGGTTTTTTTTTTTTAACAATTTCCTTATGAAGCACTCTTCTGAACAATGATCCCAAGGTAAGATATACAAAATTACTATGAGAAGACACAAAGTAATAATAATTATAGCTAGACTTTAGATAGCACCTGCTACGTGGTAGGCAGTGTGCTAAGTACCTTACAATATTACTGCATTTGATCCACACAGAAACTCTGGGAGATTGATGTTATTATTAAACCATTTTACAGTGGAGAAACTGGGGCAAACAGAGGTTAAATGTCTTGCTCAAGGTCACACGACTAGTAAGTATCTGAGGCTACATTTGAATTCGGGTCTTCATGACTCCAGTCCCTGTGCTCTATCCACTACACCATCAGCTGCCTCCAAAGAATTCTATGAATAGAGGGGAGTATCCTTATCTGCTACCACACTGTTCTTATGAGGCTGTAATCAGGTTTGCCATTTCACCTCACTTTTATAGATGAGAAAACTGAGTTGGGGTTGGTAAGTGTCTGACACCTTGAATGAGGAGCAGAATTAGGAAAATAAGCATGAATAGGCATGGACTTAACAGGTCACGGAGCTCACGCTTCCGTCTCTAGAGAGGCCTATGCTTCAGCTATTCCAGAGTGACAAGAATCTGTTAAATTTTAAAAGATGCTCTACAGCAGGAGTTCTTAACTTTTTTTGTGCGTGTGTCATCGATGTCTTTGGTAGTCTGATGAGGGCTGCTGACCCCTTCTGAGAATAATGTTTCAAATATTAAATACAAAGGATTACAAAGAAAACCATAGGTTAGTGAAAATAAAAAGGTACTTTTTTTTCCTCCATCCAAGTTCATGAAACTTCTAAATATCCATGGACCCCTTGAGGAGTTGGTGCATTGCAAGTTAAGAACTTCTGTTCCAAAGGAAGAGAGACTTTGATAACATCTTAAGCTTATAAAGTACTTTTTATGCATTATCTGATTCAACCCTTATAATAAGTCAGTGAAGTAGGCAGTGCAGGTTTTATTAGTTCCATTATATGGAAGAGGAAACTGAACTTTGAGAAGTTAAAGTGACTTACTTATGGGACAGTCAGGTAGCACAGCCTGGAGTCAAGGAGACCTGAGTTCAAATATGGCCTCAGGTACTTACTATGTGACTCTGGGAAAGTCACTTAAACCACGTTTGCCCATCTGTAAAAAGGGGATAAGAGTACCTATCTCCCAGGATTGTGGTAAAGTTCAAATAAGAAAACATTTATAAATTACCTGGCACATAATAGGTATTATATAAACTCTTATTCCTTTCCCTACGAGACAGAGTGCTAAACCTGGAGTCAGGAAGACCAGAGTTCAAATACGTACTTAGATTCCTTCTAGCCTTGTCATTTAATTTGTCTGAATCAGTTTCCTCATCTATAAAATGGAAATGATACCACCTACTTCCCAGGGTTCTGGTGAGACAATATGAGACAATAATCACAAAGCACTTAGCACAGTGCCTGGCACACAGTAAGTGCTATATTAATGTTACCTATGATTATTATTATTATTTTTAAAATAGTTACTGAAATTTTTTTTAAAAGTTCATAGATTTCAGCTTAAGGTGGTATTGAAGATAGAATACTGGGCCTGGAGTCAGGAAGACCTGAATTCAAATTTGGCCTTAAACATGTCTAAATGTGTGACCATGGGCAAGTCACTTAACCCTATGTTTGCCTCAGTTTCCTCCTAGTTAAAATGAGAATAATAATAGTACCTACCTCCCAGAGTTATGGTGAAGATCAAATGTGCTAATAATTGTAAAGCACTTAGCACAGTGCTTGGGACATAGTAAATGTTATGTTAATATTAGCAATTATTATTATTGTCATAATCGTTATTACCTGCTAAAGGTGACATAGCCAGGGAATGCCAAGGCCAGGACTGGAGCTCAGATCTCACTCCAAGGCCAGCATTCTTTACGCTACATTAGCCTCCCACCACCTCCCTGTCCTTCTTTTAGTCCACTGCAGTATAAACCACACACAGCCTGCTATCTATAACAACAACTCACATTTCTATAGAACTTTAAGGATTATAGAGTGCTTTTGTCACAACAACTCTATGACATGGTCAGGGAAAGCAGTATCAGTTTCATTTTTCTGATGAAGAAACTGAGGCTGAGAGGAGCTGGGTCAAATGCAGGTCCTCGACCTACATCACTGTATGCAGTAACCCTGGGGAGGATGGATTTCTTACCTATGATGGAAGTAAAGAGCTCTGGTGTAGAGCTTCCCGCAGCCATAAATGTGGCTCCAGCAACGTCTTCACTCAGGTGCAGTTTCTGAAACAAATATGCCCATAAGATCATTAAGCTGTATCATGGGCTTCCAGGGGACTGATATGTCCTGTGATGAGACATTCAGAAAGAGCAAGGGAAGGCACAAGACATTCGGTGCTCAGGGAAGAAAGAAATTCAACTGACCACCTCCATTGGGCTCTGGGGTCAGCGGAAGGCCCAGCACACATCAGGATTACAGGCTCCAGAGGTCTAAAGTAAACATTTCTGTGCCAGTAGCACAGAAACTTGGAGGTGGGAGGGATCTTAGAAATCATTTCATCTAGCTCCTTTATTTTGCCAAGGAGGAAACTAGAACCCGAAGAGAGGAAATGATTTGTGTCCAAGGTCACACAGAAAGTTAGCAATATCGTCAATACTAGAACCCATACTTCCTGACTCCTGGCCCGGCATGCTTTCAACATTGCAATACAGAGCCACCTCTCATTTTAGGACACCTTACCTTTGAAATTGCTTACCACCCCCATCAGGGCTTATCAGTTTAAAAAGATGAGTCTTGTATTGAAACTCAGTGGGTTTACCAGAAGGCTGATTGGGCTAGGGGCGGGGTGGAGAACCTGTGACCTTGAGGCCAAATCCTTAGGTCCTCAAGTGTGGCCCTTTAACTAAATCCAAACTCCATAGAACAAATACCCTTACTAAAAGGATTTATTCTGTGAAGTCTGGATTCAAAGGGCCACACTTGAGGACCTAGAGGTCCACATGTAGCCTTGAGGCCGCAGGTTCCCTACCCCTGGGCTAGGGTAAACCAACACAATAGTCCATTTATCAAGACGCCTTCTCATCCTGTTGAATACCTGTCATCCCCCCCCCCCATTTTTATTTATTTTGTCAAATATTTCCCAATTACATTTTCTTTCTTTTAAACATTCTTCTCTTTTTAAAATTTTGAGTTCCAGATTCTCTCCTTCCCTCCCACCCCCTTCCCCACCCACTGAGAAGGCAAACAACGTGATATCAATTATACATGTGAAATCATGGAGAACATATTTCCATATTACTCACATTGCAAAACAAAGCAAAAAAAAATAAAGTGAGAAAATTATACTTCAATTTGCACTCATAGTTTATCAGTTCTCTCTTTGGAGGTGGATAGCATTTTTCCATCATGAGTCCTTTGGAATTATTTTGGATCATTGTATTGACCATAGCAGCCAAGTCTTTTACAGTTGATTATCATTACAACATTGCTGTTACTGTGCACAATGGTCTCCTGGTTCTTCTCACTTCACTTTGCATCCGTTCATAGAGGTCTTGCTGTTTGAACACCTATTCTTACAAGAACTGGATGGAATTCTTCAGTCTAGACTCTAGAGAGAGCAACCTGTAATCTGGCATCCACTCTTCCGGTCTAATGGTGTGCAGAGACCATCTGGGGTCTAGGAAACGGTAGAGTAGAGGCTTCCGTTCCCTCTGCATTCTTCTTCCCCTCCCAATTTCTTACTCTCAACCCTTTACACTGGCCAGAACAATCTTCTTTATGCATACATGTGGAAATACACAGTACACATATCACATGTAGAGCTCAAAATCCTTCAACATCTTTCTGCTACCTCCCAAGTAAAATGGAAATTTCTTCTCCTGACACTCAAGGCTCTTTCTAATGCTGTGTTTTTCTATTTTTCTAGCCTCATTATATGCTATTTCCTGCCTCAGTTCCTACGCACCCTACATTCCAACCACTTTAGGAACCTGCTATTTCTCATGCATACCTTGTGCTTTTCCAACCTCCGTGTCTTTGCTCATGCTGTTTCTTAGGCCTAGGATGCCTGCCCTCTCTCCCCAAAACCCACTTAATCTACTGAATTTCTATCCATTCTTCAAAATTTGAAAAAAGTACATTCTAAGATACCACGCTGGGTTCCAGACTGAGGAATTCCACAGCCAGCACAAGAGTGGTATATGAAAGTGTCCATTACCATTGGACAAATTTTTTTTTTGTTTGTTTCAGCAATCAGGGTTAAGTGACTTCGCCAGAGTCACACAGCTAGTAAATGTCAAGTGTCTGAGGCTGGACTTGAACTCAGGTCCTCCTGACTCCAAGGCCGGAGCTCTATCCACTGTGCCACCTAGCTGCTCTCATTGGACAAAATTAACAGGAAATATTTTGAGTCATGGTCTTCTCTGCTTTTTCATCTAAAGTCCTATATCTTCCTAATTCCCTCCCTACTCAAATTATTTTACCAAACCACTCAAAATTTCTTTTCACTTACCTCACAGATTTTTTCCAATGATGGAACAAAGAAGTCATCACACACTATAGCCAAGGCATAGAACATATAAAGTGCCTGAAAAAGAAAAAGAGGGGGGATCACTTGAGCACTCATGTATTGACAACACGTGGCTAATTATTTAATGTCTAAGTAGCTAGGGACAGAAGCTATGCCAAAGGTGAATGAGAAAATGGATTATAATACAGATAGGAATTACAGACTGTTAGAGGGGAAGGGGCCTTTGGGACCCTCTCAATTAATCCTTTTTTTTTTTTAAACAAAGGAGAAAACTGAGGCTGAAAGAAGTGATGCTCTAGGACACGTAACTAAATGGCAGAGATGGCCTTATAACCCTCAATCCAGTGATTATCCCACTTCAAGGTGCCCTGTCGTTTGAAAAAGTTCCTACGTATTTTAAGCATGGGTTAAAATTAAGTGGCGCTTGAAAGGGTCTTAACTGACACCATCATCAGAGTTGTACAGTGCTTGAAGGTTTGAAAAGCTCTTTGTTCCCCAAAATCCTACGAGGAAAGAAGTACAAGTATTCAAGAATCAGCTCAGATTGTACCTTCTGCAAGAGGCCTTTCCCAGACCCCCACGTTAGTACTTTCCCGATAAGACTGCCTCCAATCAACCCCACATATATCCTGTTTGTACATAACTGTGTAAATGTTATTTCCCCCATTGGGAATGAGAGCTCCTTAATGGTAGGGACTCTTATTGTCTTTAGTTATATTTCCAACACATGGTGTAGCGCATTGCCTGGCACACAGTAAGCACTTATTAAATGTTTGTTGATCGACAGACCTACCCATTTAACTGATGATGAAATTGTCTTGTCCAGGGGTGGGGAACCTGCAGCCTCAAGGCCACATGTGGCCTTCTAGGGCCTTGGGTGTGGCCTTTTGACTGAGTCCAAGTTCTACACAGCAAATCCTTTTATTAAGGGGGGTTTGTTCTGTGAAGTTTGGATTCAGTCAAAGGGTAGGACTTGAGGACCTAGAGGGCCACATGTGGCCTTGAGGCTGCAGATTCCCCACCCCTGGTCTTGTCTATGGCTTTCATTGTTGTTGTGGGGCAGCTAGATGGTATAGTGAATAGAGCACGGAGACCAGAGTCAGGAAGACTCATTTTCCTGAGTTCAAATCTAACCTCAAATACTTACTAGTTGTGTGACCCTGGGGAAGTCACTTAACCCTGTTTGCCTTAGTTTCCTCATCTGTAAAATGAGCTGGAGAAGGAAACGGCAAACCACTCCACTATCTTTGCCATGAAAACCCCATGAAGAATGCTTGTTACCTGACAGACTGATTTTACTGATGATGAAGGGGTCCTGGGGGTAGGGATATAATACAGTCTCTCCCAAGTGCAGGAGCTCTTTGGTGCCCTGGGGAAATGGATCTTCCTGAACATGAAAAAAAGGGGGAGGAGGGGGAATCTGTCCTTGTATCACCGGTGCTTAACTTGCTTATAATAGGAACTTAATCAATGTTTATTGAATTTACTCGTATGAATCAACCACAACTATTTCTAAAACCATTTAAACTCTAATTCTAAGCACTTTCTTCCTTACCTCTTAGGACAGACTCTTTTGATGCAGAAATCCTTGAAGGCTGGAATAGAATAGCTTCCTCTCACAGCAGAAGATCATAAGTTCCCTATCCTTTGAGGAGGAAACATCTACTCACGCCATCAGATGGGTACATCAAAAAGCGAGATCAGAGACCAGCCTTTATGGGGCCAGGAAGGAAATGTTTAGGGGAGTAATAAAAGCTTTGGTCAATTAAAAAATAGACTATAATTCTGATTTGCCCCCTTTCCCACGTGTTCAGTGAGGGCATTGTTTTCCAGGTCACTGAGGAGCTCCTGCCTTTGGAGCTCAGTCCTAGGGTTTCCAAGAGTCAACCTTGAGCTAATATCTTTTGAAGCGACATTTGATCTTACCCCTTGTTTAAAATATGTGGAGACATATAAATGGGATGCCATGGGATGCAGTGGGGTATAGTGGGAAAGATCACTAACTCAGGAGCCAGGAGACCCTGGGATCTCAAAGTTCCAGCTCTGACATTAATTAACTGTGTGACTTTGAGCAAGGAACTTCTCTCTGTGCTGTGGTTTCCCCATCTTTAAAATTAGGGGTTCATCTTATCTTCTACATCGTGAATCCCTCTGGCAATCTGGTGAAAACTATGAACCCCTTCTCAGAAAAAATGTATTGCAATGCATAAAATCAAGTAGATAAGATTACAAAGGTTAATGAAAATAGAGATGTATTTTTCCCCATCCAAGTTCATGACCTCATGAAATCTCCATGGAACTTCATGGACCCAAGATTAAGAAGGACTGATAAGGTCTTCCCTAGATCAAACTTTCTATGACCCTTTGCTCCTATGAATGCTCACACCAGTTGCTGTCATCACAGCCTAGCTCCTCAATATAGCATTATAATATTGATCACCTAAAGTTCAGTCAGGACAGCTAGACAGCACAGTGGATAGAGCACCGGAGTCAGGAGGACTTGACTTCAAATTCTGCCTCAGATTCTTACTAGCTGTATGACCCTGGGCAAGTCACTTAACTTAAACTTGCCTCAATTTCCTCATCCATCAAATGAGCTGGAGAAGGAAATGGCAAACAACTCCAGTAATTTGCCAAGAAAACCTCAAGCGGGTCACGAAGAGTGAGACATGACTGAACAGCAACAAATTTTTACTCCAAATCTAATACTTCTTCCAATATACCCACACTACCTCAAAAGGCAGAAGAACAGGAAATAACAGGTAGAAATTACAAGGGGGCAGAAAACCAGCCTCATCTTCCTAATAGTAATGTGATCTGTCCACAAAGAGAATAATGGGTTCTAAAGAGGCAATAAGTTCTACATTTCTGGTGGTCCTGAAGCACACGGCAGATTAGCGAAGGCATGTGAGTGCTGTATAGACAGGATTAGAGGACTTCTGAGATCTCTTCCAATCAGGGTGTGCTGTAGCCAACTGAAACTGGCCAGGCCAATTGCTAAATTTTCAGTGTGAGCATTTGCACTTTAGAAATCAGCAAGTGCTTCTAATCAGGGCTTAATTTATCATTTGGCCGTGGGGAACCGGTGGCTGAGGTCAAAGGCTCCCCACCCCTGGACTCTAGACTTAAGAAAGTAATGGAGAAAAATGCAAATAGTGGGGATTAAACTTAAAAGGTGTCCGGTGGATTTTTTTTTTCTGGAGGAGGGAGAGGAAGGGGTGGTTTTTAAACATCTGCCAGTACACTCGCGCTTTCCAACTCTAAAATTCTATGATCCTAGGGACCAGCGTGTAGTACTAAACTCGGCTATTTTGAGAGACATAGAGCTTGAGGAAGGATCTGACCACTGCTTTCCTCTTCATTTATTCCTCCAATTCTGGTACGCACTTAGTATGCATACCCATGTTGGAGGTATAAGTCTCAAGTCCAAACTGACAGGTGCCTCTGAACAACCCCACCCATTGCAGTAATGACACAAGGCAGGGAACAGTTGAGGGCAGTGCCACGGCTCTGTCCTGGGCCTCTCCCTAGCCCTCATAGGAGTTAGAGCTGAAAGGAATGTGAGAGAACATCTGGAAAGCTTCCTCATTTTAGAGCGGAGAGAGGAGAGGCCCAGAGGTGAAGCGCCTCATCTAAAGTCACAAATAGCTCAGGATTCAAACCTATGTTCTCTGGGTCCATATTCAATATGCTTGACACTTAAAACACGGCTGTTTTCACTCCTTTTGCTCATGCTAGATACTGTTTCACTACCAAATGTAGGTGGGTTCAGTTAAAAAATACATCAGCAGCCTTCCCATTATCTGGATTCCTTAAATGCTGTACAATTAAATTCAGTTTAATGGTCTTACCCTAGGGAAATCCTTGGGGGAAGCACCCATGCAAAGCAGAAAGTTCCCATTCACTCTCTTCCCTAAACACAGGATCACAGACTTAGAACTAGAAGGGAATTTTCAGAACCATATATTCCAAGTCCCTTATTTTATGTTTCTTCTTTCTTTCTTTCTTTTTTTTTTTTTTAGGCATTTGGGGTTAAGTGACTTGCCCAGGGTCACACAGCTAGTAAGTGTCAAGTGTTTGGTCTGAGGCCGGAAGTTCCTTATTTTATGGATGGGAAAAATGAATCCTAGGGAATACTTTGCCCAAGGTTACATACATAGGTAAGCAACCATCAGATGTGGGATTTGAACTCATGGCCTCTGACATCACAACGAACAGTCTTGCTGCTGCATTATACTGTCTTCCTGGCTTGTGAAACTGGTTTCCTTGCTCTTCACTCTTCCTTTCTATTGAAACCCTTAGGCCCTGTAGAGCTTTCCTTTCTACAAAGAGAAGATGCAACAATCTTGCTGACAGGAGAAGACAACATCAGAGATTTTAGTGCCAGGGAGAAAGTGGATTTCATTGTCTTCAACTATACTTTTGACCACAAACCACCACTTCCCCTAACACAAAACTGAAGCTGTTAAAGGAGATGGTGAATTTTTTCCTTGTTGATTGGACCTTCTTGAGCCATACAGAAATTACCCATAGATATTCCCGAGGACTGAACCCAGGTTAAAACGCAATGTGGAAAGGTGAGCAATGGGCAGGTCTCAGACCATTTGAAAACAGAACTATAACTCAATTGGATAATTCATTGATCTTGTTTTTCAGTCATTTCAGACTCTTTGTGACCTCATTTGGGGTTTTCTTGGCAAAAATACCGGAGTAGTTTGTCATTTCCTTCTCCAGCTCATTTTATAGATGAGGAAACTGAGGCAAACAGGGTTAAGTGACTTGTTCAGGGTCACACAGATAGTGTTGAGGCTGGATTTGAACTCAAGTTTTCTGACACCAGGCTTGATGATCTATCCACTGCACCACCTAGCTGCACTAATTAATTGATAGGCCTCTCAAAAAGAAATCACAATAGATTTTACAGGAAAGCATCAATTTTCATTATTTTATCCTTTTAGTTGCAATTTCAGGAACTGTTAGTCTTATGTACCCAAGACTCTGATGTAGTTTAGCTCTGGTCTAACAATCAGTAAATAAGACTTCTGTCCTTTCTCCTCACTTTTCCATCATCAACCACTGACCAGTATCCCCCTTTCCAACAAAAAATTCCTCTCAGAAACCCTCCATTAACGATCTTAAAGCCTGATAAGGCTGCAGAAAGGCCCTGAGATGGGCAGAGGATCTTAGAACCACAGAACATCAAAGGTAAATGGGTCCTCTTAGTGACAGATCATATAGCTTGAGTAAGTCATTTTACAGATGCAGAAAATGAGGCCCACAGGAGTCTAGTGACCTGCTCAAAGTCATGCAACCAATCAGTAACAGAGTTGGGACTAGCTTGTAGGTCCTTTGATTCCAAATTCATTGCTTCTCTCTTCACCTCCCCACCTCTAACACACACATTCCTGCAGCTTCCTCTGTATACAGAGGCTCAAATTTATTGTGTGTAATTCATTTTAAGAAAATGAAGCAAGAGTAATATGATTTAACAGGCAGATTGGTGGTAAATTACCTGATACACCCATATCACAAAAGAGATTCACCACAGGGTCTCTTTAAACAGTGAACTCTACCCGTATACCAAAAGATGGTCTAATTTACAAAAATCCAGCCTACTTGCACATTTTTAGGAATAGAACTATAGCCTAAAGCAAGACACATCTACTTTTGCCATGGGCATTCAAGCCCTAGGCTAGTGAAAAAAACCAAACAAACTGCATTTCAATTTAGGAGCAACATTAAATCCTTAACAAGGATCAGAATGATTGGTTTTTGACACTAAAAACCACAGTATTATTATGGATTTCTTGAGTCATTGAGGGCATATACACTTTGGTTTAAGAAAAACACCCCAAAGCAATAAAGAATCAGAATGTCAGAGGTGGAAGGAACTGTAGGCTATAGAGTGTTAGACTATAGAACACAAAGTATTAGGATATAGGTCACAGCACTTCAGTGAGACTGGGTAACAAAAGGATAATTATCACCCTCATTTTACAGATGAGGAAACTGAGGGTTGCAGAGATCAAATGGCTGGCTCACAGCGATAGGCTTACCTATGCTGGGCCTCGAACTTGTCTCTTGATGCCAAATTCGTGCCCTTCGAATTGGACATATGGTTCCTCTGAAGCATACAAACAGTAGTCCTAAATATAATTAACTCCTGATTATCTTCACAAATGCAGTTGGAACAAAAAGAATGGCTAATCCCCAAACCTTTTGGTTCAATTTTAGAACACTTTATGTTCATATTCTTGCCAGACCAAGGTCCCTTCCAGTTGGGATGCTATTATCCCATTGAAACAATTTTGGCTAGCTTAGGATTTAAAAAAAATTCTGGATTTAACAAACCCCAAACAAAACTAATATTTCATAATAAAGTAAATGAGAAAAAGTGGACTGCACATCAAATTGTCCATCTTTTTTTGCGCAGAGCTTGCTTTTTCTTTTAAATATATAATAAATTCAACATATAGCTTTCAAAGCTGTCTTGATTGTGTTTCCTTCTGTTTAGGGTAAATTTTAATTTTTTAAAAATCTTATTTAATATTTTATTTTTCCTAATTGCATTTAAGAACAATTTAAACTTTTTTTTTTTCAGATTTTGAGTTCCAAATTCTCTCTCTTGCTCCCCTCCCTCCCCACTGAGAAAGGAAACAATTTGACATACGTTATACATGTATAGTCATGAAAACACATTGCCCATAAGTTATTCTGTGAAAGAAAACAGAGACAAAAATATTGGATAAAATTTTAAAAAGGTTTTCATTTCTTAGGCACATCCCTATTAATGGCCCTGGATGGTCAGAGGAAGTTAGTCTGGGCTTTATTTAGAAAGGCCAAAGTTATCATCCCAAGTCATCACCAATTTTCTTAACTTTTGTCCTGCTATTGGACTTTGTTGATTCTGGAAAAGACAGTGAAGCTGATGACTTGGCGCATCTCTGATTCACTTAAATCAGATCGACTCTCAAGTCAAGACATCACCCTCATGATTTCATTGGTCCTCTTCAAGAAGGAAGGATGAACAGTGTAATTTAGGTGTTAAACACTGAACCCTGGTTTGAAATGACTATCCCTGGGTGTTTGTCCTGCACTGTCTCATCAAAAAAAGGATGGAATTCCTTCCCCTCCTCTCCATGCTCTTCCATCCCCATGCTAGCAAAGTCAAAAGTAAAATGGTTAACTTACTCCAAGAATGTGTAGCAAGACTGCTCCATGCTGCCGTTCCTTATTGGAAAACAAATCTGTGGGGAACTGATGGATTGCTGGAAGAGAAGAAAAGAAGACTTGCTGTGAATAAGGGGCCCCAAGCCCCACCAATACAAGGTCTGAAAAATTACTGCATGTTGTGGTCTGATCACAGAAATCAAAGCTTGGGTTTGCAGTTAGCTAAACTGTACAACTAGGAATAATCCTGTACCATCTCCTGGAATATGGTAGATACTCAAAAGATATCTGTGGAAAGCTTTAATTTTCTGAAGGTCAATAACTCAGTCATATTACAGTATTTCATATGATAAGCACATCTTTTTTGGGGGGGGGCAACTGGGGTTAAATGACTTGCCCAGGGTCACACAGCTAGTAAGTGTCAAGTGCCTGGTCTGAGGCCAGATTTGAACTCAGGTTGTCCTGACTTTAGGGCTGGTGCTCTATCCACTGCACCACCTAACTGCCCTTAAGCATACCTTTTTTAAGAGAAACTCAATAGAAAGTTACTGGATGTTCTTATGATGTATTTTGAATTATGACTACTGTGTATGTGCTTCATCTCCTATTCTAAGGTTGTAAATGGGCAGGCTCAATATCTTATTCTTTGTATCTTCTTCTAGGGCCTTGGACGTAGTCAAATGCCTAATAAATTCCCGAACAATGAATGAATGAACACAAAAGTTCAGATTTCCAAAAGAGACGAATTGGGAGATTATTACATGCTGAACACACAGATTTATCACTATATTTTTAAAATACAAAAGTTTCTTTAAAATTTGTTCATTCAAACATTTATGAAGTACCTACTATGTACAAGGCCTTTTGGGGGATATAATTTCAAATTTCCATTTTTATGAAGCTGTTTCAAAATGAATTGTAATCCCTGGGGATCACTTCCAGCTCTGTGATTGCATACACAAGGTACACCTGCAATCTTGCCCCTTTGAAGCACTTTGGCAACAATGGATGCTGAAGGATGCTCCTCAAAGTAGTTTTTGTGCTTTTGCATGAAATAGGGAGAATAAGGCCATGAAAGTCACAGGATTATTTTCCTATGCAAAGTTGTAGAAACCCAGACAAACAAATACTCCTTCAGCAGAGTCATAAATCAACAAAACCCTTCTTAAAAACAATATGTACTCATGTGAGAGAAGTCACTAAACTATTCATACCCTTTGACTCAGAGATCCTGCTGCTGGACATATACCGTGAGGATGTCAAAGACCTAAAGAAGAGTGATATTTACCAAAGTATTGATGGCAGTGCTTTTCCTGGCAGCATAAAATGAGTGCCCCTCAGTTAAGCAATGACTGAATAAACTGTGGAATATGGATGTAATAGGATAGTAGTGTGTCATATGAAACGATGGCTATGAAGAATTCAGAGAAGTAAAGCAAGACTTGTATGAATTGAGGCAGAGGGAAATAATCACAACAAGATGGGCAATATCCATGACTACAATATTGTAAATGAAAAGAACACTAAAATGAAGCCATAATGACCAAAGTTAACCTTTGAGAAGAAATGAGGAAATACTTCCATCCTTTCTTTGGTCAAGTGGTATACTATTTTTTTAAAATTTGAAGTTCCTTTATTTTCCTGAAGTTCATTCATTTTCAATTTTGTAGGATATATTATTATTATTGTTATTATTGGCTCAAGCCATTGTTTTTGCTTTTTAGTAAATACTATTCCAATATTTTTTTTCATTGCTCATGCATGTTCTGTATGATTCTAACTAGAGTTTCATTTCTCCTTTCTTTTCCTTCTTTCTTTCTTTCCTATTTTCTTTCCTTCCTTCCTTCCTTCCTTCCTTCCTTCCTTCCTTCCTTCCTTCCTTCCTTCCTTCCTTCCTTCCTTCCTTCCTACCTTCTTTATTCCTCCCTTCCTTTTTTCAATTCTGAATTCTTTTCTACTCTCCAACCCCTTCCCCACTCATTGAGATGACAAGAAATACAGTGAGGTGGTGAAATCTTGGTGTGGAACATTGTAAATGCTCTCAGACGTACTTGCTGTCCTGGTTGGCTTTACTAAACAGCTTTTCTATATTTTAAAGGGAGGCTCACTGAGTGAGTGGATGTGAGAAAGGGTGTATTATCCATAAATAAACATGAAGTAAAACCAATAGGCATCTGTAAGACTTCAAAAAAAGGAACAAGGAGAAGCAGGAAGTTCTATAACCACCAATTTCCGAAAAAATATTCTTACTTAATACGACAAGAAATAATACCTTATATGTGTTGGGGCCTCATAGGCTACAAAGCATCTCCACAAATACCTCATTTGACCTTTACAATGTCCATGTGCGGAAAGTAGCAAGGGGATTGTGTTTTACAGATTGAAAAGACTGAGGCTTCAAGAAAAGAAAGGACTTGCACACTCACAGAGCTGGAACTCCAACTCAGATCCTCTATCAGTCCAATTTTTTCCCATTCTATCTTTTAATGGAATATATATCTTCTCCCAATGCTATAATGAAACCACTTTAAGGGAACTGTTTTCCTCAGCTCAAGGACACAATTTTATTGAAAAATTTCTCTGCTTTTCAGGAGTTACAGGTGGGGGAGAGGCGAGAGAGAAAGAATGAGAGAGAATGAGAGAGAATGAGAGAGAGAGAGAGAGAGAGAGAGAGAGAGAGAGAGAGAGAGAGAGAGAGAGAGAGAGAGAGAGAGAGAGAGAGAGAGAGAGAGAGAGAGAGAGAGAGAGAGAGAGAGAGAGAGAGAGAGAGAGAGAGAGAGAGAGAGAGAGAGAGAGGCAAATGCATTTTCCTTCAACATTAAAAAGCTTTTCATTCCTTGCAGCCGTGATTTTCTTTTGCATAAATAATTTAACAGTCTGGGATATGTGAATTTAAACTGATCAAAGTCAAGGTTTCTCAGATTTTCATAAACCTCCAACTTAATGTGAAAGCTGATCATTGGTTTCAAATGCTGGCAGAGTGGATGTAGTCAAAAGAAATTTGGATTTGGAGGGTCTGTGGGAATTCAGGAGCATTAACAGACTGTCAGTGGAGCTATGAATTGGTCCAAATGTTTTGGAAAATAATTGAAACAATTATATTAGGAAAGGGACTAAACTGCATGTACACTTTGACCAAGTGATGCTACAACTGGGCTTGTATTGTAAGGAGATCATAGGCAGAGGGAAAGGTCCCATATACCAAATTAATTATAATATTACTTTTTGTAGTAGCAAAAGACTGAAAATGAAGTAGGTGCTACTGGTGAGTAGCTAAACAAATTGTGTGCATGAATATAACTCCATTTTATAAAGGTATAAAAAATGATGAATGTAATGACTAGAGAAACCTGGGAAGACTTCTATGAACAGGTATTGATCAACGTAAGTAGAAACAAGATACCAATATGCATGTGATCACAATACTCAAATGGGTCTGTGATCCCATCACTTTGGGAGTTCCCTCCAATTACACAGATTGCAATCCATCCATGTGCAACTCTCATCCATGTTTTCCCCAAAGTTCGACACAGGGGGTGCATCTAAGGTACATGAGACTTGTTCACTTTCTCCTGTTACTGCCAGGGTGCCAGCGGGGACTTCATCTTTCACTCTTGTCATACGTGACTACAGTAGTCTATGTTTTCTCATTATCATTCCATTATGATGTTCTTCTCTGGTGTTTCTCATTGGTTGTATTTTTCAGGCTGCTCATACCCACCATACATGCATGCATCTTTCCATTGCCCTCTATGTGATACTATTTTTAGTTTTTGGGTAGTGGTATTCCATGTCTCCCTGCCAACACAGTCACAACAATAAAATGACTATAGAAATGTAAAGAAAAACAACATTCAAAGACAGTAGAATGCAGATCAGTGTGATGACCAATCTTGGTTCCAGAAGGGTTATATCTAACCCCTCCCCTCTCCTATATATTGTGCCCCTCCCCTCTCCCAGTTCATCTCTCTGATCTGATTCCAGCCTAGCCTTGGCATCCATTATCCAGGGAATCAATACTGGTGGAGATGGGACCAGGCAATTGCTTCTGTAGGCACTGTAGCTCTAACCTCCTTAGCAGCCACTGGTACTGAAGGCCAGGAAAATAAAGTTCTCAGCATCAAAGTCCTTAGGCACTGTCATACGACTCAACTTTAGAAATGAATATGGTTTTATCAGTGGAAAAATATCATAGAAGCAGCATTACTTTCTCCTTTGAATTGTACCCTATGGGGCCTTTCCATCTAATGTACAGTGGAAACCTCCTATGTGTGTTGTCTCCTCCTATTAGAATGTGAGCTCCTTGAAAGGAGGAACTGTTATGTCTTTATTATTTATATTATCCAGCATTTAGCACATTTAGCACAGCATTTGGGCAGGTTTGGTAAACACTTAATAAATGCTTTTCATTTATTCATTCATTCACTCCATCCATTCTCATTTTAAAGTAATCTCCTCCCATTCTACCCACAAGAGATGAGGCCCAGAAAAATAATATGATTTACTTGCCCAGTTAAAGTTACACAACTAATTAGTGATCTAGTAAGTGCTACATTCTTTCTAACTACACCATGCTCTCTTTCTTTGTCTTTAAAATGAGGAAGCTAGACTAGGAGCATTTAAAAAAAAAGAAACTTTAAAGTAAGAGAGACAAAGTCGAAAGGAGAAAGAAAATCCACAACTGGGCAGTGACTGGGCTGGGCACATTAAAATTTAAAAGGACAATGGGATTCCTAAGAAAACCTTCCTTTTCTCAAAGCCTGGTGGAAAGAAGTTCCTGGGGCCCAAGCTAAGAATTGGGTTGGCATCTCAAAGACGCTTGTCCAGAGATAAGGTGATGTAATTTCAACTATGAACCTCAGTTGGTTGCATGTAGGTGCACCTTAGCCCATCAATCACACTGGCTTTGAAAGTAAGAGGGACAAGTCTTCTGCCAGCATCAATTTCGGATGGGAGTGGGGAGGTGGGAGCGGAGTTCAGAGAGAATGGGGGAAGCTGGCTCACAGAGATTGTTCTTTTGTGATTGAAAAACAAATATTGCAGCTGAGAGAACAAGGCCCATCTGATCCTGCTATTAGGCCTGGCTGCTGCCAGGGCA